AATCCCAGCTACTTCAGGAGGCTGAGGCAGAAGAATTGCCTGAACCCAGGAGGCGGAGGTTGCGGTGAGCCGAGATCGCACCATTGCACTCCAGCCTGGGCAACAAGAGTGAAACTCCGTCTCAAAAAAAAAAAGAATAATTGAAAATGTATTGGCTCACGCCTGTAATCCAGCACTCTGGGAGGCTGAGGCAAACAGATCAGTTAAGGTCAGCAGTTTGAGACAAGCCTGGCCGTAATGGCAAACCCCATCTCTACTAAAAATACAAAAAATTAGCTGGGCATGGAGGCAGGCACCTGTAATCCCTGCTACCCAGGAGGCTGAGATGGGAAAGTCACTTGAACCCAGGAGGCAGAGGTTGCAGTGAGCTGAGATTACACCACTGCACTCCAGCCTGGGAGAGAGAAAAAGACTCTGTCTCAAAATTTAAAAAAATTAAAAAGAAATAAAGATGTAGATAATGATTTAATTATACGAACAGTATTTATAATTTCCAAAAACTAAAAACAACTTATATTTTGAAAAATTTAAAAATTAAAATATCAAAGTATAACCATGCATTGGAATATAATTCACCTATTAAAATCGCATTTCTGATTAATTTTTAATAACATGGAAAAGAAAGCATTCACATCTAAGGACAAAGAGCAGAATACAAAATTATTTCCTCATCTCAAAGAATAAGAGAGTGAGGGGGAGAGAGAGAGGAGAGAAGGTATTTCTTAGGGTATGTGCATATGTATTTCTAAGTACCTAGAAAAAATAGTGAATGTCAATAAACCAGAACTTCAACAATCAGAAAATTCTATATGAAATGAATTATTTCTGAAATTAGGAAGAACATTTAGTCTACTTTCTCCCTTGGTTGACATAAAAAAAGTTACATTGTCCCAATAATACAATTAACATAGTTTCAAGTAGAAAGTGGGAACTCTGTTTAAAAAAATAAAATTACCTCAGGGCACAGTGGCTCATGCCTGTAATCCTAGCACTTTGGGAGGCTGAGGCGGACGAATCACCAGGTCAGGAGTTTCAGACCAGCATGGCCAACTTGGTGAAACCCTATCTCTACTCAAAATACAAAAAATTAGCTGGGCATGGTGGCGAGTGCCTGAAATCCCAGCTACTCAGGAGGATGAGGCAGAGGAATCACTTGAACCCGGGAGGCAGAGGTTGCAGTGAGCTGAGATTCATGCCACTGCACGCCAGCCTGGGGGGCCGTGCAAGACTCCATCTCCAAAAAAAAAAAAAAAATTACATGGCCCTAAATTGTTATCTCATTCCAATCATAGCAGAGCTTTATAATTTCATTTTCTTCTTTGAGGCATTAGTCACTAGTTGTACTGAAATGCCAGTGGAACTCACCTGCATCAACAGAAATGTTAAGAACAACAAATGGATACTGATTTCGATTATACATGTGGTAGACCTCATTCACAAGTCTGGAGACCTGCACAAAATACAAAGAATAAAAAAGAATAAACAAGAAATGTTCCTGGCCCCCAACATTCTAACAACATGCTATTCTAACCAACCAGCATGTTCTTAGAAAGGGATACTTTTTTTTTCTTTGGACACAAGGTCTCGCCTTATCACAGGCTAGAGTGCAGTGCAGCAATCACGGCTCACTGCAGTCTCAACTTCCTAGGCTCAAGTGATCCTCCTGCCTCAGCCTCCAGAGTACCTGGATTACAGGCACATGCCACCATGACTGGCTAATTTTTATATTTTTAGTAGAGATAGAGACACGGTTTCACCACATTGGTAAGGCTGGTCTTGAATTCCTGACCTCTGTTGATCCACCCACCTCAGTCTCTCAAAGTGTTAGGATTACAGGAGTGAGCCACCATGCCTGGCCTAAGGATACTTTTCTTTTTTTTTTTTTTTTGAGATGGAGTTTCACTCTTATTGCCCAGGCTGGAGTGCAATGGCACAATCTGAGCTCACTGCAACCTCTACCTTCCGAGTTCAAGCAATTCTCTTGCCTCAGCCTCCAGAGTAGCTGGGATTACAGGCATGCACCACCACACCTGGCTAATTTTGTATTTTTGGTAAAGACAGGGTTTCTCCATACTGGTCAGGTTGGTCTCGAACTCCCAATCTCAGGTGATCCACCTGCCTCAGCCTCTCAAAGTGCTGGTATTTGATTATTGGCGTGAGCCACTACATGTGGCTAGGATACATTTTTTAACAGCTTTTACTGAGCTATGACTGACATGGAATAAACTACACATATTTAAAGTGTGCAATTTAATAAGTTTTGACATATATACACAAATATCTGTGAAACTATCCCCACAATCAAGATAAAGAATATATCCATCACCAAAAGTTTCTTCACACCCCTCAAAGTGATATTTCTAATCATGGATTCCTAAAACTAAATCTTTTTCCAACCTAAAGTCACTCTACAGGAAATTTTAGTGAAATGCAGGCACAGCTTAAATGTTCATAAAACACATTCAATGTACATAGAAACATATTTATGACATATGTCATTAGAAATAAACCAAAATATCACATTGTTGTAATTAATAATTATTAATCACAATATAGGCTACAAAATTTAGAAATTGAACCACATCTGGCAGATTACAAGTGAACTCTAAACTCTTATTGAAAAACAGAAAATAGGCCGGGCATGGTGGCTCACACCTGTAATCCCAGCACTTTGGGAGGCTAAGGCGAGTGGATCACGAGGTCAAGAGTTTAGACCAGCCTGGCCAACATAGTGAAACCCTGTCTCTACTAAAAATACAAAAATTAGCTGGGCATGGTGGTTCACGCCTGTAGTCCCAGCTACTCAGGAGGCTGAGACAGGAGAATCACTTGAACCTGGGAGGCAGAGGTTGCAGTGAGCCAAGATCATGCCACTACACTCCAGCCTGGGTGACAGAGTAAGACTCCATCTCAGAAAAAAAAAAAAAAAGAAAACCAGAAAATATTACTGAGGTATAATGTTGTGTTGCTAAACTGCAAACTCGAAAAACCCATGTAACCAAATCAAAATGATCAGTTTAAATTTGAGGCAGAAGTAATCCAACCCCTCTCTTTCCTAGGAAAGTAGAAAGAAGAAAGAGAAAATACAGAAACCCATAAAAAATATAGAAACCATGTAATCAGTCTATACTGAAAGATGACACAGAATGTTATAAAATGTTTAATTTATTTAAATAACTATAGTTTTTATAATAATAAATATACTGGTAATTAATATGTGTTTATATATTTATGTATATATAAAAACAACACATAAAATGTATATATACACATAAGAACACACATATATGAAATTTTAAAAAGTGTACACAGATAAATGCTCCTTGCCTTATGATAGGGTTATGTGCTGATAAACCCATAAACTATTATTTTATGTCAAAAATGCATTTGTGATAACCTAAGCTACTGAATGTCCTATCTTAGCCTTGCCTCAGAACACTTATATTAGTCTATAGGTAGGCAAAATAAAACACCTATTTTATAATAAAATGTTGAATATCTTCTGTAATTTATTGAACACTATACTGAAAAACAATGGTTACGCAGGTACTTAAAGTACAGTATCTATTGCACGAATAACTTGCACAATATGGTAAAGTAGTAGAAAAATCTTTTTTTTCTTTTTTTTTTTTTTTGAGACTCACTCCTCCATCACCCAGGCTTAAGTCAGGTAGCTTGATCTCTGCTCACTGCAACCTCCACCTGCCAGGTACAAGCAATTCTCCTGCCTCAGTCTCCCCAGCAGTTGGGTTTACAGGCATACACTATCATTCCCAGCTAATTTTTATATTTTTAGTAGAGGCAGGGTTTCACTGTGTTGGCCAGGCTGGTCTTGATCTCCTGACCTTAGGTGATCCACCCACCTCAGCCTCCCAAAGTGCTGGGATTACATGTGTGAGCTACCACGCCTGGTATCTTAATTTTTTTTTTTTTTAGATGGAGTCCTCTGGCTCTGTTGCCCGGGCTGGAGTGCAGTGGCACGATCTCCACTCACTGCACCTTCTGCCTCCCGGTCTCAAGCGATTCTCCTACCTCAGCCTCCAGAGTAGCTGGGACTACAGGCACACACCACCACACCCAGCTAATTTTTGCATTTTCCTTTTTTTTTTTTGAGATGGAGTTTCACTCTTGCTACCCAGGCTGGAGTATAACGGCGCGATCTCGGCTCACTGCAACCTCCGCCTCCTGGGTTCAGGCAATTCTCCTGCCTCAACCTCCTGAGTAGCTGGGATTACAGGCTTGCACCTCCACACCCAGCTAATTTTTGTATTTTTAGTAGAGACAGAATTTCATCATGTTGGCCAGGCTAGTCTTGAGTTTCCGGTCTCAAGCAATCCACTCGCCTCAACCTCCCAAAGTGCTGGGATTACAGGCATGAGCTACTGCGCCCAGCCAGAAAAATCTTCAGTTGAAACCACTTAAGTTGGGGACCAGCTGTAGTAGACTTCTGTAAATGCCCAAAATAAGATAATGTGACAGCCACGTTGCTCAAAGTCCCAAATTCCATGTAAACTGCCTATATCAGAAAAAAAAGTTGTCAATGAAAAGTCAAAGGCATAAAGAATCAAAGAATACAAACTTTTAAATACCTTTGCTGGGTCACAAGGCCGCCGATTGATAAAGAAAAACTGTCGGTCTGTTGAACTCCTTCCAGCTCCATGTGCACATTGTGAAATGAAACCTGAGATACTTTTCAATAGTAATACGGTAAGGGCAGAATTCCAGAGTGAAAAGAATTAGAAATACAATCACATGGCACATTCTTAAAGTGAAACGACAACAAAACACCAGGTGACATGCTGATAAGTATCACTATTGCAGTTCATGGGTACCTATGCTCCAAATCTTTATGCATCATCAAAGAACGAGACCTTCTGTAACGCTCTAGAGCTCCTACAGTCAACCAATGCACCACAGGTGATGCAGTGGGTCCAAAACTGATGTGTTGCAGCTCTCTTATCACCTTCCTGATAAATCCTTGGCCTCCGTAAGAGGAGTGGGTCTCATTCAAATGCATTCTCAGAACCCCGATACTGCCAACCCGGTTTATCAGTAAAGTCTAACCACCTGTGCTCAGGATTTTGCCCATACTCCCTCCCCTTTCAAAATCTCCTGGATAGCAAACTTATATCTCATGTCTTGGTAAAGTGCTTGTTTCACATGAGATCCACCCCAGGGATACTGGCATTTCCAGAAGAACACCACCTTCACATAAAGACATAAAGCTCCATGTTTACAATTTCAGCTATAAGCCAAAAGCAAGTGGTGGAAGAATAAGAAATATAGATCTAAAAACAAACAAACAAACAAAAAACAAAGAGATCTTAGGCTGGGCACAGTGGTTCATCCCTGTAATCCCGGCACTTGGGGAAGCTGAGGCAGGCAGATCACCTGAGGTAAGGAGTTCGAGACCAGCCTGGGCAACATGAGGTAAAACCTCATCTCCACTAAAAATACAAAAAAAAAATTAGCCACGTATGGTGTGCACACTTGTAATCTCAGCTACTCTGAAGGCTGAGGCAGGAGAATTGCTTGAACCCAAAAGGCGGAGGTTGCAGTGAACCAACATCACATGCCACTGCACTCTAGCCTGGGCAACAGAGTGAGACATTGTCTCAAAATAAAGAAAAGAAAGAAGAAATACAGATCTTAACAGGACCAATCCTATTTATGGAAGTGTCTATTTTCTTATACTAAAGTAATGATGCTGAACTGCCTTCACTAGATGCCAGAAAAGTCAAAATCATTTAAAATTATAAAACAATTTAAAAGCTAGTCTAACTAAACAGAACCTTAAAGACGACTAACTCAACAGGAAACCACCTGAAATGTACCAGTTACCCAGAACATGGTGAATTAAGTAACTGAGTCCTTTGCATAAATCATCTTTCTTAGCAATAGCACTGCTCACAGTTTTATAAAAGACATAAACAATTACTAGCCCTGGACAGGCATGATGGCTCACGTCTATAATCCCAGCACTTTGGGACACCAAGGTGAGCAGGTCATCTGAGGTCAGGAGTTCGAGACCAGCCTGGCCAACACGGTGAAACCCCATCTCTACTAAAAATACAAAATTAGCCAGGCGTGATGGTGCATGCCTGTAATCCCAGCTACTCAGGGACTGAGGCAGGAGAAATGCTTGAACTGGGGAGGCAGAGGTTACAGTGAGCCAAGATTGTGCCATTGCACTCCAGCCCAGGCAACAGAGCAAGGCTCCATCTCTTTTTAAAAAAAAAAAAAAAAAAAAAAAAAAAAAAAAAACCCCAGAACCTAAAGTACAATAAAAAAGAAAAAGAAAAAGAAAAAGAAACGATTACCCCTAAAATCACTATCTTAAAAAAAATAAAACTCTCAAGATAAAACGTTCAATTGTAATTCTCTTGCCAGCAATCTACTTACTAAAACAGATTATGCAGAGCATCTGAACAGCTCAAACCATACTCTTCACACACGGAGTCACTAGGGGGCAGCTGAACAAAAGGAATGAGACTTTGCAACTAAAAAGAAAAAAAAAAATTCACAGTTACCTCCTATAAAGACAGGCTGAACTTAACTTGTTTTCCTTCCTAGTCAAGCTACCCACCTTACAAGTGCAAAAAAATTCAAGGAATCCTTTTTTGGTTTTGATTTTTGAGACAGGGTCTCTCTCTCTCTTGCCCAGGCTGGAGTGCAGCGGCTCAATCACAGCTCACTGCAGTGTCAAACTCCTGGGTTCAAGCAATCCTCCTGCCTCAGCCTCCCGAGTGAGTAGCTGGGACTACAGGTGCACACCACCATACCTAGCTAATGCTTTTAATTTTTATTTTTGTAGAGATGGGGTCTCTTGCCTTGTTATACAGGCTGGTCTTAAATTCCAGGGCTCAAGTAATTCTCCCACCTCAAAATTGTTGGCCCAGTGGTTCAAACACATAATCCCAGCAGTCTTCTCCCAAAGTACTGGGTGTACATGCATGAGCCATCAGGACACCACTTTTGATTTTATGACATGAGAAAGATGAAATAAGTACCTACTTATTCATAACCCACACATTGCCCACAATAATTTATATTTTTTTCAGAGAGAGAGTGAAAAGACGCAATATATGACTGTCTCTGGAAGAATGAAAAACTTTCAGCTTTCAAACATTAATTTTTGTGATAGGCACTTTAAACAATGATTCTTAGTCTAGGTGCAATGGGTCATGCCTATAATCCCAGCATTTTGGGAGGCCGAGGCAGGTGGATCACTTGAGGTGAGGAGTTTGAGACCAGCCTGGCCAACATGGTAAAACCCCGTCTCTACTAAAAATACAAAAAATTAGGTGGGCCTGGTGGCATGTGCCTGTAATCCCAGCTACTCAAGAGGCTGAGGCAGGAGAATCACTTCAAACTGGGAGGCAGAGTTTGCAGTGAGCCGAGATGGCGCCACTACACTCCAGCCTGGTCAACAGAGCAAGACTCCATCTCAAAAAAAAAAAAAATCAATTCTTAAATTTTATTCTCCATTCTACTGGAAAGGACAATGGAAACCCACCCTAATCACTAGAGCAGTAAGAGGTGTTTAAGTAACCGGCCACCACTACCTGCTTCTGCCCAAACACAGAGCCGATATTTTCCTTTATGCTGGGGCTTCCACCTGTGCATACCACAGGCTGCCGTTTTCCTTGTCCAAGCTGATTGGTGCAACTGACACGGATGCCTGCTGAAATTATACAGTATGCATGTAAGATCTGGACCATTTTGGCATACTCCTGTTTAAAAAACATAAACACAATATTCTACATTACTTTCATATTACAGGAATTACACAGCTCAAGTTATTACAATCCAAAGCAAGGTTCTCACATCATCTCACAAATGAAGAGAAGTACTGTTGACAGAATGATCTGCAAAGAGGTATCTTCCTAGATTCTATGGAAAGCAATGCAGAGCTTTTGCCACCTGGTCTCAATCCTCTAACTTGCCAACGTGCTATGTGTCCTGGTAAAACAACTGAAAAATATAGCCTGTAATCCCAGCCACTCAGGAGGCTGAGGGCAGGAGAACTGCTTGAGACCCGGGTTCAAGACCAGCCTGGGCAACACAGCAAGACCCTGTCTCTACAAAAAATTCAAAAAAAACTAGCCAGGCATGGAGGTGCCTGCCTGTAGTCACAGCTACTCAGGAGGCTGAGGTAGGAGGATTGCCTGAGCCCAGGAGTTTGAGGCTGCAGTGAGTCATGATCACACCACTGGGCTCCAGCTTGGGTGACAGAGAAAGGCCCTATCTCTAAAAATGAAAATTAAAAAACTGAAACATACATTCTGTTTGACTTTATAATCTCTCCTTTTGAATTGTGTCTTTGTATAATAGAAAGACTGGCACAAGCATTTTGGTGTACAGAGATACAAAAATGTTCACTGAATCAATCTCTATGAAAAATCAGAAACAACCTAAACAAGCATCATCAAGGAGTTAATTAACTATGGTATACCCATATCGCAGCAGAATGACAAAAAATAAGGCAATATGCACTGACTGAAAAAGACAATCACAATATGCTAAGTAGAAGTCAGTTACAGGACCAGGCATGATGGTTCACGGCTATAATCCTAGCACTTTGGGAGGCTGAAGTGGGAGGGTGGCTTGAGCCCGGGAGTTTGAGGCCAGCCTAGGGAACACAGAAGGACCCATTTCTACAGAAAAATACAAAAATTGGCCGGGCATGGTAGCATGGGCTTGGAGTTGCAGCTACTTGGGAGGCTGAGGTGGGAGGATCCACTGAGCTTGGGAGATCAAGGCTGCAGTAAGCTGAGATTGTGCCAGTACATTCCAGCCTGGGTGAAAAAGCAAGACCCTATCTCAATTAAAACAAACAAAACAAAACAAAAAACAAAAAACAGCTGGGCGCAGTGGCTCATGCCTGTAATCCTAGCATTTTGGGAGGCCAAGGTGAGCAGATCACCTGAGGTTGGGAGTTCGAGACCAGCCTGACCATCATAATGAAACCCTGTCTCTACTAAAAATACAAAATTAGCCGGGCATGGTGGCGCATGCCTGTAATCCCAGCTACTCGGGAGGCTGAGGCAGAAGAATCACTTGAAACAGGGAAGTAGAGGTTGCAGCCTGGGCCACAAGAGCAAAACTCTGACTCAAAAAAAATAAAAATTTAAATTAAAAAAATTTTTTTTCAACCACATACAATTCTGTATTACTTGCCTGCTGTACATTCTATATTACTTGTTTTCATTATATTAATTTATGAATTTATCTTGAAAATTATTCCAACAGTTATAAACACATGAATTTAAAAGGAGTCTGAACAGATATACAAACTGTAAATGATGGTTATCTCTGACAAAAAGAAGTTCTACATTCCTATATTTTGCTAAGGCACTAATTTTTTTTTATTATAAGATGCAAAAAAAGGTAAGTTCTCTCTATTTTAAAAATTAAAATTTTTGAAAAAATGTAACAAAGTAAAAATTAGCAGCCAGGCGCAGTGGCTCATGCCTGTAATCCCACCACTTTGGGAGGCTGAGGCAGGCGGATCACTTAAGGTCAGGGGTTTAAGACCAGCCTGGCCAACATCGGGAAACACCCATCTCTACTAAAAATACAAAAATTAGCTGGGTGTGGTGGCAGGCACCTGTAATCCCAGCTACTTGGAGGGCTGAGGCAGGAGAATCACTTGAACCTGGGAGGCATAGATTGCAGTGAGCCAAGATTGCACCACTGCACTCCAGCCTGAAGGACAGAGTGAGAAGTCTCCGTTTAAAAAAAAAAGTTAAAATTAGCACCAATTGCTTTACAAGTAAAAAAAGTTTTAAGCAGCATATGTTTAGGTAACACTTTAGATTATAAAAAATACACGCACAAAATGAAAAAGCAAAAAGAAGGCAGCAAAAAAGTGCATGAGGTCTCACATCCAAGGATAACCGCTGAGAACATGAAAGTGTTGACTCTTCCAGCCTTCATACTATACACATTTAGGCCTGTTGTTTTGTTTTTATAAAACCGTAATCATACAATACAGTTTTTTTTTTATAATTCAGTTTTTTAATATGCTTTTTAAAGATAACAATTATACATTTAGCTGTTTCATTTGCATTCAAATTCATAAGGGTTACAATTACTCATTTCTCAGAAAATCAAGACAAATATTCTTATTAAAATAGAAGTATGTAAGGCCAGGCGCACTGGCTCACACCTGTAATCCTAGCACTTTGGGAGGCTGAGGTGGGCGGATAACCTGAGGTCAGCAGTTCAAGACCAGCCTGGCCAGCCCAGACAACATGGGGAAACCTCATCTCTACTGAAAATACAAAAATTAGCCAGGTGTGGTGGTGCATACCTGTAATCCCAACTACTTGGGAGGCTGAGGCAGGAGGATCGCCTGAATCTGGGAGGCAGTGAAAAGAGATCATGCCACTGCACTCCATCCTGGGGGACAAAGAGAGATTCTGTCTCTAAAAAATATAAAATAAATAAATATATATGTATATATATATTTTTCCAGACAGGGTACCACTCTGTCTCCCAGTCTGGAGTGCAGAGGTGACATCATAGTCCACTGCAGCCTTGAGTTCCTGGGCTCATGTGATCCTCCCACTTCAGCTTCCCAAGTAGCTGGAACTACAGGTACATGCCACCATGCCCAGTAAAATTTTTAATTTTTTTTTGTTTTTTTGAGACAAAGCCTTGCTCTGTCGCCAGGCTGGAGTATGGTGGCATGATCTCTGCTCACTGCAACCTCTGCCTCCTGGGTTCAAGCAATTCCCTGCCTCAGCCTCTCGAGTAGCTGGGACTACAGGCACAGGGCACCATGCCTGGCTAATTTTTTTATATTTTTGTAGAGACAGGGTTTTACAACATTGGCCAGGATGGTCTTGAACTCCTGACCTCACGATCCACCTGCCTCGGCCTTCCAAAGTGCTGGGATACAGGTGTGAGACACCGCGCCAGGCCTTTTAAAAATTTTTCATAGAGACAGGGACTCACTGTGTTGCCCAGGCTTAATCAAAAAGGAAAAACGTAAATCATCCTAAAATTAAGTCTTTAATGGAAAGACGAAAATAAAGCATTTTTCAATAAATTATGAGAAGAGAATCAACTGAAGAATAAACATCTTTAGTAAACCTTTTTCTCATGTATTGTAACCAATACTCTTGAAAACCAGGATTAATTTACTGTACCTTCTTAATATTCCTTTGAAATTCCTTATGGCGCACAGGTAATGTATAAAATAACTGCTGCACGCTGACTGTGGTCCCTCTGGGGCGGGGATAGGGGGTTTTCTGGATGATTTTCCCATTGTGATCAAACACCAGTCGAGTCCCAACCTTCACTGATGCATGGCAGGTAGAAATGGTGACATCACTGTGAGAGAATACCAGGGACGGTGGGTTCAGTTAGAGACCCATGATGCTGGACACTGACTACTCTTTTCTTCACTTGCTTTTCTCTCAAAACTTTCTTTAAAAGCTGATGATCCTCGAGGTGGGTGGATCACCTGAGGTCAGGAGTTCGAGACCATCCTGGCCAACATGGTAAAACCCCATCTCTACTAAAAATACAAAAATTAGCCGGGCGTGGTGGGGCAAATCTGTAATCCCAGCTACTCAGGAGGCAGAGGCAGGAGAATTGCTTGAACTTGGAACTCGGGGGGTGGGTGGGAGTTGCAGTGAGCTGGAATTGTGCCATTGCACTCCAGCCTAGGCAACAGACCAAGACTCCATCTCACAAAAATAAGGAAAGAAAAATAAAAAAGCTGATGATCTGAGATAATCAAGATCTAAACAGCTGTGGAGTCATCATAAAACCTAAGGTTTGGCATCTAAAAGACAGTGAGACGGAGAAAGCTAAACATGCTTTGTTTTGATAAAAGTTTTGATTTCATTTTTCAGCTTGAACTACAAAACAATAAATGATCTCAAGATTTATTTACTCACAAATAGAGATTTCTGTTTTGTTACTACTCTTGGAACAAAATTTTTAAAAATAATCCAAAAGATATTATAATTAAAATGTATATGTAGGGCAGTGTGTGGTGGTTCATGCCTGTAATCCCATCCTTTTGGGAGGCCGAGGTGGGCAGATCACTTGAGGCCAGGAGTTCAAGACCAGTCTAGCCAACAAGGCAAAACCCCGTCTCTACTAAAAATACAAAAATTAGCCAGGCGTGGTGGCGCACACCTATAGTCTCAGCTCCTCAGGAGGCTGAGGCACAAGAACCACTTGAACCTGGGAAGCAGAGACTGCAGTGAGGCAAGACTGTGCCACTGCACTCCAGCCTGGGAGACAGAGTAAGACTCTGTCAAAAAAAGAAATATATATATATGTAATTATTTACAAAAATTTAGAATCTATTATATAATTATATAGTGCTTTGGTGAAATGTTTCCCTAAAAGTTGATAATGAAAGCCAATGTAACTATCATTTATTATCTGTATGTTATGCTAAAATTGAGAAGTTACTGTTTTAATAAGGGAAAAAAAAATTTTTACAATACTATTTGCTTCATTTCATTCATTTATTGCTGACATTTCAGAAGTATTATGACTTAGATCGGCAGTGAGACAAAACAGAATTCAGAAGTTAGAAGCTGAGACACTGAGACACAGAACTGTAAACAGTAATGATTCGAATTACTTTTCAGAGAGGTTTTTTTAAATGGTCAAGTGAATGGATAAAAATATTGCATCACCTCAGTGCACAAAGTGAGCTCAGAGCTTCCCCCCGAAAGCCAAAAGTTTCAACCTGAGTTAGGTCAGCAAAGTCCTGAATCTTCGATGTGTAATGTTTCAGAGCTGAAAGAGAATATAAAGTAAGGACCATGGTATCTCAAGTGCTATAGCAATGAATATACATGCTATCTACCACAGTAACTGGCTTTAAAAAACTGTTTTTGTGTTTCCCAAGACGGTGCTACTAAAAATGCTGAGACATCTGGCCCAATTATTTTATAATAGGATTAGAAAAAGTCAACTTACTTAAGCCTTCGAAGTTTTCTTCTTCTACCCCACATCCATTGTCTGAAACTTCAATGAGATCCACTCCATAGTCCTTAAGCTTTAGATCTAAAAAGTTTAAAATATTTACATATTTCTTCAAGATTGACTCACGCTAAAAGTTTTTATACTGATATAATAACATACAGTGCTTTTTTTTTTTTTTTTTTTT